GTGGCGGCTTGCACAGCCCTGATACATATCTTCCTTGGCAACATGAGCTGAAGCCAGCATGGGCAGGGCCAGCCCAGCTCTGAGGGCTTGGCCCTAAAGCCGGCGGCACCCCCAGCCCTTCGGCCCCGTCACTGTCCCCTGGCTGGAAGGCTCATGCCTTCAGGCAACCATGGAAAGTGTCTGACCTCCACCCTATGTTGGGTGCTTCTGGAAGAGCTTTGTGACTCGGTTGAAAACCTTCTTGCTCTCTTCAAGTTTGCCGTTTGATCTGTGGCTCTTGGAAGCTGTCCTAGTGAGTTAGCCATGGCTTAAGCCTGAGGAGACCAAGCACCCTTGTATGTGAATTCTTGCTTGCAGTGAATGAGTCCTGAGCAACCCTTGTGTGTGTCATGTCCTGTGTGTGGCCCAGGCTTACCTTTTCTTGAAGATTCCCATGAGAAATCCCTCACCTATCCATGTGCTCTAAGAGGGGAACCAAGGTCTAATCCCTTTCTGTGCCAGAGTTTCTGTGGATTGGTCTTAGCACCTAGGAGATGAATAGATTGTAGAGACACGTGACCAATTTAGTAATTCTGCAAGGCAGTGAGGATTGAAGGGTTCCTATTGTCTCATCTGTGTTCAAAACAAAGCAGTCATGAAGTCATTGTGCCACTGCCTGACTGTCATCTTTTCCAGATCTTGTTTATAGAGAAATAATGACGTTAAACAGGTATCAGGAAGGGGAAAAAAGTTTCTAGGCCAAGAGCTGCTGATGGATTCTCTTGAGCAGAGTAACAAGTTGCTTCCTGCTCCAGAGACTGCCATTAGCTTGTGAGGTTTCTAGGTGCCTTGTTAGTTCCTAGTGAAGCTGCAGAATCCAGGGTTTTTTCCAGGTCTGTCTTACTTTATCAGCACCCATGCCCAGGTCCAACAGCTTAGTTGGCTGGTGAGGTACACACATGGCCAGGTCTGGGATATGAGAGGAGGGAGGAAGCATTGGCCTGGAATACCCCTGCTGTCTGCCATTAGCACTAGATAGCTCGGGCTGTCTTGGAAACATGTACTTGCTTAACTGCCTTCCTGTCCTCTTGTCTTTGAAAAGCTGTCTCATGTTCCATAGTCAGCTTGAGGGCAAGAGTGGGATGGTGGGGACATGTCTTCCCCATGCTGTGGGTGAGCTCCTGGCATCTGGCTCAGGAACGTGTGGGGTCCAGAGTTGGCTTGGCTGCCCTCTCAGGCAGGACGCAGGCCTGACAACCTCAGCCTTCAGCTTTGTAAACTTCCCTGGAGTTTTATAGAATCTTTTGTTTCTTCAATTCTCAGCAGATATCATTCAAATCACAAGAACTGTCTGGTTGAGAAAGTAATTTAAAATATTTGACCTTTTTATGTTTCTTTTATTTAGAAACTGTGAGAGAAAATACCTTCAGTATCTGCTAGGTCTAGAAGAATTTTCTTCTTAAAGTGAATGTTCTGTTTATCTCTTCTTCCTGCAAGTAAGTAGCATTTGTACACTCTTCAGCTTGAAGCGGAGGAGTGGGTTCTATTATATTTTTCCTTCTTTTGTCTGGAATATATTCTTTTTCCATTTGGATACAGTTTTTCAACCTTTGGGATTTTTTTTTTCCTTTCTAGTTTTTCCTACTCCACAAACATAACAGTAAGGAAAAAATCACCCACAAGCCTGCTGAGTTTGAATCATTGGCAACTTGCCTAGAAAAGTTTAGATGATGGGTCGTCCTTGAATGGTGTATCTGTTTCATAGGGTAAGTTTGTTGTCTTTGTTTTTTTTTATGCTGAGGCTTTAATTTAGGTGACTTGCTATCTAGACACCCTTGAGTGGCGTGTTTTCTTTGGGATGCGTAATTCAAAAAGGCCAGGGAGCCTTTGGCTTGGACCCCTGGGAGTTATCAGAACTTTAAAGTTCGAGTTTAGGAGTAAGAACATATTTCAGACCACCTTAGTCAGCTTTGCTGATGGGATTTAGGGCCAGGCCAGAGTTTCTTTAAATAACTGTGCCTGAAAAGAGAGATGGTGTGAAACAAGATTCTGATAATGGTTTGTGTGAGATTTGGTCATAGTCTAAAACTGTCACGCCTGAGTTGCCTTAGGATGATAGTGCTGACACCCAGTGGGAAGTACCCCATTTTTGTCAGGAAAGCGAAGGGATGGTGAGGAGATGAGGGAGGCCTAGTGCCTCCTGCACCAAGGGGAGGCCTGACTCACGCTGCTTCCTGCCACAGGCCCTGCTTTGCTTGCCTGCTTTTTCCAGAATCAATTCTGCAAGTTTCAAGACTCTGTTCCCCTCTTTGCAGAAGTGAGGAAGGCAAATACTCAGGGTTTGAAGGGAGATCTGGCTGGCCTGAGGGCTGGTGGAGGCAAGGGCAGGATGCCTGGGATGGACTCGTAGGCTGGCCTAGACCCAGAGGGGGCCACCTGCTCTCAGTTCTTTCACTCTGTAACCCATTTAAAAATAAGTTTTTGAATCTTGCCTCAAATTGACCTCCTTGGATAAAATCAGTGCTTTTCCTAATTGATTTTGTTTGACGTGGTTCCCTCTAAGAGAATGCTAAGAATTGAAACTATTTGTATATGTTGAAATTTGTAGAGGTTCAGGAACCCATGGCAGAAACACTAAACTATTTATTTACAAGTATGACTATTTTTTTTTTTTTTGCAAAGTAGGCAATTCTGTCTTTGTATATTTTAAGGCAAATAATCACTTCACCTCTGGTGCCTTCCATGCGTCGCATAAGCACTCTTGTCAATCATGGAATTGGAAGAAGATGTACATTTAGTTAAACCAGATAACACTATTTTTGTAGCATGATTTTAGATTGTGTCCTTTTAATATTGTTTTCAACAATGGTAGTTTTGAGGTTTTGGCCATTTTCTCTTTACACTTTGTATGTATTTTAAAGAAGAAAAAAACAAAAATTCCCTGGCTATTCCTCTTTCCTCTCTGCTGCTGCTTCTCCCACATCTTGTTCCTGCTTATTTAAATAGTTTGAGAGTAAGAGTATATTTCTGTGAAATAATTATAAGTCAGTATAATTACATTTGGCATTTTTTAACCACTTGCTCAGTCTGGAGCCACTGCTCCCCTCAAACAGTGCAAAGAAAGTGGTTCCATATTTTACAAATGAAAGAGTGGCATTGGAGCCCTGACCTCCTCGTCTTTGGGTATAAAATGCTGAGAAGCTGGTGACCAGCTCCTTCCCCTGTGGTTTGAGCTGGTTAACTGAGCCCAAGCATATTCTCTGGCCCAGGCCCCTTCCAGGATCAGCGTGGGTATCCTGCGAGGCACCACCTTCCTGCCCCCATGGAGTGGGAAGCTTTCCAGGGCCCCAGCCGGCTCCCGGGCTCTCACCTTCCACTCTGATGTCAGATTGGTTCGTTGTGGATGCTCTGGCTAGACTTGGTGGACCTTGCCGGGTTCCAGGCCTGAAAAGAACAGGCTGTTTGCTGTGAAGAGCTGGATGACACTAAGACACAGACACATACTCTTTAGCGGCCCTTTTGACTTTCCTTCCTGCAGGATGTGAGTTATGTCTGGTTCCCAAAACCCTTGAGTAAACTAGCTGAGGCATTGCAAATGAAGGTACAGATGAATTGAAACATAAAATCGTAGCTTTTGAAGTGTCTTTCTGAAGGGTCAGAATATGTAATTATTTGATAACAAAGGATGTCAAGTCAGACAGCTAAGTAGTAACTTTCTAATGATTTGTCCGTGGTACTTCACCTGGTGGCACTTTTGGGGGACAGTGTTAACAATCGCATTTTACTTGTTAAGTCTCTTTCATTTTGGCTGTTTCAAGACACAACTGTGGGCTTTCCGAGGTGACGCCCATTGAGCAAACTTTGGTTTACGTGTTTGGTTTTCCAGCTGACGCGGAAGCCCCGGGTGGGTACCCCCAGCTCACGGGCTCTTGGGTTAAAGTCTGTATGTCTGGAGTGGGTTGGGACCCCAAAGCTTTGCTGCTATTGATTTGTCCCGACAGCAGACAAAGCCTCACATTGCCCTCAATTTCCCTCCTTTCTTTTGAAGGACCAATTTTTCATGGTACTCGTCTTGATCGTTTTCATAGTGTTCAAATCTGTATTTTTGTATGTAGAAGGAAATAATTTTCTCAACACTAATCGTTAATAACTATTGTATTAAATTGTCATGAAGGAACTCTTGTTTAATAAATGGACGTGTAAGGATGTCGTTGTCTCTTTCTTCGCTCTGACTGGCCTCCTCTGCCCCTTAAAGGCAACAGATCCAGTTCCTGAAACAGGTTGAACAGAGCCATGATCCTCAGGGTGGAACAAGGCTCTCCGACACCAGCTTTGCCAGGGCTGACAGGGTGGAACATATATTCCACCAGGGGCCTCTCCATTCCTGCACACCCAGCTTCCATACACATTTTCAGTACATGTGGTGTGTGAAAGTTTGGCCAGAAAGTCTTGTCTTTTCCCCTCAGCCTGGACAAGAATGCGGACTGGGAGTCCTCCAGGGCTGCCACTCTCTGGGCTGTTATGCAACCAGCTTCCAAACCAGGAGAGCCTGGGTTCTGGCTGCCTGAGGCTGCCGTGAGACACTATCCTGATGTGTGAGAGAGCCCTGGGCCAGTTACTCAAGCTTTGTCTCAGTTTCTTGTTTGTAAAACAGGATAGTGTTGAGAACTAGAGCAGGGGTCCCAAACCCCTGGGCAGTGGACTGGTACCATGGGGCCTGTTAGGAGCCACACCGCACAGCATTACTGCCTGAACTCTGCCTCCTGTCTGATCAGCAGTGCCATTAGGTTCTCGGAGGAACTCAAATCCTATTATAAACTGCATGCCATGAATCTAGGTTGTGTGCTCCTTATGAGAATCTAATGCCTAATGATCTGAGATGAAGTTTCGTCCTGAAACCGTCCCCTCCCACCCTCAACCCAACTGATCCCCCAATCCCTGGTCCGTGGAAAAACTGTCTTCCACGAAACAGGTCCCTGGTGCCAAAAAGGTTAGGGACCACTGAAAGGATTAAATGGTACTCAGATTTCATATGTATTGTTGCTAAGACTGAAGGCTGTCAGGATCCACACCGGTGTTGCCAGTTGGTATCGAACCTGACATGATACCAGACAGTATTGCTCTGGTTTTTCAAACACACACTCCAAGCAAGTGGTCAGTCTGGTTTCATTCATTATGGCTTTTTTTCAGAGTAAGAGATTCACATGCAAGAGAATAAGGCCATAAATGCTCCAAACTCTGGCTCCTTCAAAAGGCCTAGAGTCACAGAAAATGCCATCTGTTAAGAAGCTGCTTTTGTATTAAAAAAAATATAAAAAGTTATAAAAGTCCATCAAAGACAGATACACAGTATAAGTCCTTAGGTGAACACAGAAGGCTGGTATCATCTCCCGGCGTGGACCATAGACCTGCTCTGGGGTCTGGAAGTTCACCGTCCTGAGGGTCCCAGGAACTCTTGCCTGCTGTCTGGGCTCTAGGAAGAAGGAGGGTTTGGCTGGGCCCGCCCAGCTCCCTGTGACACTGCCACCGTGACATCACTGTTTGGTACCCTCTGTCTTTGGGATCAGTCAGTCTATGAGCTCTTCTTTAAACAGTGTTAGACCCAGAATGGTCATCTCACTCCCAGAAGACATGGTTTCCAAGGGTGGTTGGTGTCAGTTCTGGGTGCCGAGCCCCACACTCTCCTAGGCGATAAAGCGAAGGTCAGTTTCTCCCTGCTTCAGGAATGAAGAGGAACTGGTGTTCCTTGAACCAAAGATTCTTGGGCCATTGTCACCAAAGTGCCTGGCGTGGGCAGAAGCACTAAATGCAGACAAACCCACTGGGCCTGGTGTGGCAGCCCTGTCAAGTTTCTGTCTTTGTTCCTGTTAGTGAAACACAGAAGACCTCCCCTGACCCCTGCCAACTAGCAGTGTGGACTGCCTGCTGCCCAGGTGGAGACAAGGCTCTGCTTTGACTCCTTGTGCTGGTTTTTGTCAGAAAGGTTGAAGGGCTGAAGGCCTGTGGGACAGAAATGGGGAGAAGGGGTGGGATACCCAAGATGCCCCCATGCACAGCATGGTCAACAGTGCTGAGCTGAGGGGCAAGGCTGGTAGGCTGGGCTGAAGCAGGACCTGAGGCTCTGGGGGCCTGCCGTGTCTGCAACCCGCTCTGCAACTCAGAAGTCCGGGCCTCCCCTCCAATGTCAGCGTTCCCTGTGTGGTGCATGGGTGGAGGCCTGTGTGGCTCAGGTTGCCAGGGCACCACCAGGCTGTCAGTCGGAGTCCGAGTCAGAATTCTCTTCTGAAAGGAAAGCAGAGAGGATGCTTGGCAGGAGGCTCAGGGCAGCGGTGCCCTGGAACAGTCTCTGGAGAAGCACAGCTGGGTTGCTGGCAGGAGCCTGGGTGTAGGCCTCCTGCAGCTGACTCTACCGTTAAATTACTCTCCCAGTAATCGCTGGCATGAGGGCAGGCCCTGGGCCAGAGGCTCGCCACGGGCAGCAGCCACTTTTTCTTTTTTCGAAACGGAGTCTTGCTTGTCACCTAGGCTGGAGTGCAATGACGTGATCTCAGCTCACTGTAACTTCCACCTTCCCAGGTTCAAGAGATTCTCCTGCCTCAGCCTCCCAAATAGCTGGGATTACAGGCATGTGCCACCATGCCTGGCTAATTTTTCTATTTTTAGTAGAGATGGGGTTTCACCATATTGGTCAGGCTGGTCTTGAACTCCTGACCTTAGGTGATCTGCCCACCTTGGCCTCCCAAAGTGCTGAGATTATAGGCAGGAGCCACTGTGCCTGACCTCTATATTCAATTCTAACATATAAGCCAGGAGTAATTTTATAGCAAAATAATTGTTATATATGTGAAACTCTCCAAATAGTAAAAAAAGAAAAAACAAACAAACAAACAAACAAAAAAGCCCCACCCAAGTCTCTGCTGATGTTCACTACTTGTTCCCTGGACTGGCAGTCTGGGAGCACTTGCTGCAGGCAACTGGCAGCAGGTTGCAGAACCTGAGGAAACCACTGGGGAGCTCTACCCTAGTATTTGCTAAGGGACGGAATGGGATGAGTGGCATTCATTTCCAGCAGAAGGACTGGTTTCTGGGATTCACAGTCCCCATGGTCCCAACACCTGGCTGTTAGGACACTAGTGGCTCTTAAGCCTAACTCACTGGGTCCTCCCTAGGGAAGATCCCAACCACAGGGTGGCACCTGTAGGCCCTTCCAGAGCTGCCCTGGTCTACCTGCTGGGCCACAGGCACTGCCAGCAGGAGCACACTGTTAGGTCTAGAAAAGCATCTCCCTGAGCAGAAGACCCTGCTCTCTGTCCTCTCAGCTTTCTTCCCTGCACCTGTCTGGTCTCTTCTGCCTGCACACTCCTCTACTGCCATCCGTCAGGACCTAGCTCTAGCGTCCCCTCTGGATCCCCAGGCTGGCTGGCATTCAGCGTGGGCCCACCTTCAGCCGCCGTATCCCTCCATTGGCTTCTGTTTTATTGTCATTGCTGCCCCATCTGGCCCTTCCCCTGGTATGGCACACGTCATGTGTCCCTCCCCATGGTTTCTGGGTCTGACTCCTGTCTGGCCTCTGAGCTCCTCAGGAGAGGCCTGGGTGGGTGAGACAGCAGAGGGGCTGAGTTGGGGAGTTGGCCACTCTGGATCGCAGGTGGGCAGGTGCTCTGAAAGTGACTGGCTGCCCAGGGTGGTGGCGGGGAGGGTTGTCCAGGGAGACTTGCTGGCTTGACCCGAGGCTCTGCCATGTCCACTGCTTGCCCTTCTTAGAAAGGCTGGGTGAGGGGGAATGAGGGGAATGGGATTGGCTTTGTGATTAGTGCTGCATGACGCTACGTGAGAATGGGTTGTGAAAATACTTCCTACCATCAGATGGATCAAATGATCCCACCCCAGCCTCAAACTTGCCAGCCATCCCCAAAGGAGGGCAGGCCCCTGCCACAGCACTGCTGGGGTGATCAGGGTGGCTGCTCACCTTCTGTCTTGTGCGCTGTGGTCTCATCTGCAGAGTCCCCTTGTTTGAGGAATTTGGCCACTTCGTTAAAGATCAGGTAGAAGTCAATTGCAAACACGATGGTGGCAAAGAAGCCAAACACCTGTGGGCAGAGTGGATGGGACTTATCACAGGGCTGATTCCCTGCTCCAGGAGGCTGGGAACAAGGCAGGTGGCACTGAGACACGTCTGCCTCAGCCTTGGGGGCCATTTCAGACCTGCTTGGACAAACAGCCAGAGTGACAGGCACAGACCCTTCTGAGTAACGGAAGTGGGAAAATGAGCTGTGAATTTGGTTTGACAAACAGCCTTTCAAAATTCTGGGTGGAGTCAATCTCTAACAAGAGGACTTTGGAATCATCATCGGGACCCCCCAGGGGGGCCCCAGCAGGGAAAGGATCTGCCCCAGGTCCCACCCCAAGTGAGCAGCTAGAGGGGCATTTGCAGCTTCTGGAGGGTGGGGCATCTGCTCACCCCAGCGGCTTTGGAAGCCCCATCTGAGTACTTGGCGACGGCCGTGATGGAGATGGCAAAATAGATGAGGGCTGCGGTGACACAGCGCAGGAAGTCCTGGGGAGAGATGGGTGCGACCATGTTGCCCTGAGCCCCCTGGAGCTGAGCACAGCATGGGGAGGAGGCCTGGCAGCCTGGTCATGTTCCCAGCCCCAGGCCTCACACCGGAGGGCTCCTACCCCACCCTGGCCCCACCCACATGCCTAGGCCCTTGTCATGCCCCCCAGATGCCTCTGCTGCCCTGCCAGCAGCTGACACTGCCATATTCAGGTCCAGCGGGGCTGCTGTCCTAAGCTCTGGACAAAAAACTGTGTGGATCAGGCTGCAGCCTGCCCTGTGACATGGCCCACTTGGAGGAAGCAGAAGTTGGAAACACTCCCACCTGCTCCCTTCCTGCTCTCCAATGGGGAGATCTGGCCCTGGGCCTTGCTTTGCCACACTCTTGTGGCGGATCCATTTATGGATTACAGTTTCTGCTTACCCATCCCTAAGATGGGGACACAGAGGGTGCAGCCCTCCTGAGGTGGTGGATGTTAGATATGAAGTCAAGAGACTAGGGTTCAAGTCTAGCCTTTGCTGCACTTTCTCTAGGACACATTTCATTCAGCAAAGTCCACTGGGGTCTGAGCCCTCCCAGGTGATAAAACGAGGTCAGGGTTGCCAATGGCTGAGGTCTGGGTAGGCCCTGCATATCCTCAGTTAACTTGCCCTGCCTGCGTGGAAATGGCTTGAATTCCTGTGGCTGCAGCTCATTCCTGAAGGTCCTGTGGGGATTACCAGCACCACCTTGTGGCCACAGACCCCTTGCCGGGTTCCCTGTCTCACAGACCTCCTCTAGAGGCACCACAGCCCACTCCAGACTGCAGGGCTGCTGAGTAGTGGAGCTGCGATGATCTGAAGCTGGGTCTCTCCATCCAGTACTAACCAACTGCAAACTCCAGCACACTGGAGAAAGGGTAAGGGCCCAAGTGCATGACTCTGGACTCCTCATCTGGCTGCTTTGCGCAGGGCACCCCTCCCTCATGGAGCCCCTGTCCTCACCATCATGGGCCAGCACAAGCCCTGCCACTTGTCATTCAGCTGCATGGCATCAGCAAAGAGGAAGTACAAGGCCAGCAGGAACTCCAGCAGAGGTGCTGTGAGGAAGGCAGATGCTGAGGACGCCACGTAGCAGATGAAAGTGATGAACGAGAGACCCTGCGGGCAAGGAGTTTGGGTGAAGCCAGAGCCTTTTCATGCTCCTTGTCCAGTGCTCCTCTGAGTGAGGACCTGTGGTAAGGATAGAGGAAGCTCCAGCAGGGGAAGCCAGCTGCTCAAAGTCCCACAGCTGGGAAGTGGCAGAGCCAGATTAGAATCCCATGCCAAGCGCCATGGGTGACACCTGTAATCCCAGCACTTTGGGAGGCCAAGGCAGGTGGATTGCTTGAGCCCAGGAATTCAACCCCAGCTTGGACACATGGCAAAACCTCATTTCTACAAAAAATACAAAAATTAGCCGGGCGTGGTGGTGTGTTCCTGTAATCTCAACTACTTGGGAGGCTGAGGCAGGAGGATCACCTGAGCCTGGGAAGGTCGAGGCTGCAGTGAGCTGTGATCAGGCCACTGCACTCCATCCTGGGTGAGAGAGTGAGAGACTCTGTGCCCCACTGAAAAAAAAAAAAAAAAAACCCAGCATGGCCCAGGCCCACACCTATGCTGCCTCCCAGGCCTGGGCATGGCCCTGAGTCCTAACCCCACCCTGGCTCCCCACTAGGACCCAGTCAGAAAGCCCCAGCCTCCCAAGCACATCCACCCCACTCAGTGCCCTTTGGAGGCAAATCCAAGCTGGGCAGGAACCAGTTTCCAAAAAGTAACACCCAACACCAAAGACATGTGCTTGTCACTGAATGTAAATTGCACCTTGAAAACAAAGACAGATCTCTTTAGTTAATGACATGCAAGCTGAAGTGTTCAGAGTTCAAATGTCCTGATGTCTGCAATTTATTTTGCGTTAGGCACAATAGATTCATGGACAGATAGATAAAGCAAAAAAATCTTTCAGCGTTTTAATGCATTTGCAAATTCTCATAATAAGAAAGGAGCATCCAAGAGGGTACGTTGGCACTGACACCTCAGGCCCCACTGCCTCATTCATACAGGGCAAGCTGTGAAAGGTGGGACCAGCTGTACTTGAACTACAAGAATCAAAATGTTCACTGCAGCCTTGCCCACAACTCTGTAGACGGGAAGAGCTGATGGGAGAGGATGCTGAGCCCTGGTCAGTCCTGCAGCCCAGGTGTGCTGCAGAGCAGGCCAAGGTGATCTGTTGGCCAGCCTGGGCTCCACAGTGCCTGGTGCCCTGAGGCTCACCAGCATCTCCCCTGATCCCCACATCCACCTATGAGCACAGCCCCGCTTACAGACAAGAAGACTCTGTCACATGGCTAATCAGAAGCTACTAGAATTTGAACCCAGGGCTGGCTGACCCCCCAGATAGAGTTCTTTTTTTTTTTTTCTCCGGAGACAGAGTCTTGCTTGTCGATCAGGCTGGAGTGCAGTGGCACGATCTCGGCTCACTGCAACTTCTGCCTTCCAGGTTCCAGCGATTCTCCTGCCTCAGCCTCCCAAGCAGCTGGGATTACAGGTGCCTGCCACCACATCCAGCTGATTTTCGTATTTTTAAGAGAGACGGGGTTTCATCATGCTGGCCAGGCTGGTCTCGAACTCCTGACATCAGGTGACCCACCCACTTCCGCCTCCGAAAGTGCTGGGATTACAGGCGTGAGTCACTACACCCGGCACAGATAGAGTTCTTAAGCAACTTGGCCTTGTGGGTGCTGGAGAGTGCCCTCAGCGGCTGGAGAGGCCTGGGTTCTGCCATTGTACCTGCGTCTTAACATATCCATAGCTGAGTAGCTTCTAGTGGGCGCAGGGGGCCCCAAGGGGACACCCAGATGCCCCACAGGAAACGCTGTGGCTGCTTCAGACAAATGAACTGGAGGGATCCCAGGGGGTCCCCAGGGCACCCCCATTCGCCCTGCACATGGCCTTGGGTGCTGCTGAGCCCCCTTTGGACAGACAGACTAAGGCATAGAGAGGGGCTGTGAGGCTGCTGGGGCCTGCCAGGAAGGCCTTCTGTGGGACCCACCCAGCCCTGGTCCTCTGCCAAAGGCTGTCCTCCTGGCCCTCCCCTTCCTGCCCCAAAGCCTAATTCTGGGGATTCCCCTCTCAATTCCTGTTTTTTCATCCGGGGATTTCTGGGGCCCCTTCTCTCGGTTTCTGTCCATGTCAGCTTCTGCACTTGCTTGGCCTGGGAGTGGGAGTTAGGGGACAAGGGAAGCAGGAGTGCCCTTAGCGGCTCCTGTGAGCCCTGAGTACAGACCCCTCACCCCTCCTTATCCTCCTTGACCTGGATTCCTGACATCCGGTAGCCCCAGGGTGGCCTCTATGCTCTGGCTGGTCATACACCTCCTTCCCCCCATGAGGTGGTCCCCTCAGGGGACGGTGGATTCCAGGCTTCTCCCCTCGAGTGGTTCCCAGTGGTCTCCAGGGTAGGGCTGGGAGTGTGGCCTCTGGGATGACCGCAGAAGAGGCTGCAGGACCACCTTCGCCTTCTGCCCTGAGCGACCCGGGAGAGGTCCCGGGGCAGAATATCCCTTCCTCCTGCCCCCACCCTCCGGGCCGCTTTCAATGCACCCCTCAGTTGAGCCTCCTGTCAAATCAGGCGCCTCAGCACTCTCATCTGCAAAGTGGGGACAAGGGCAGGAAGCGCCAAGTCGCTGCGATCTCAGCAATAAGTGGCCGCCAACATGCACCGCTCCCTCCTCCCTCCTTCCCCGGTCCCCGGCCCGGCCTCTCCCTCCCCATTCACCTCGGCCCAGCACCACCCCCACCCCACGGCGGGCAGTGCCGGCGCCTCCTGTGTCCAGAGGACAAAGAAGCCCGACCGGCTGGGGCGGGGGCGAGCGCAGAGTAGGAAGGAGCCCGGCGGGGGTGGGGAGGAGGGCGGTGAAGTCACCACTGGGCCGCCTCACCCAGTCCCTGAAGTGGGGTCCCTCCCGCTCCGCACGGCCCAGCGATCGTTCGGCCCCGCCTCCGCCCCGCAGCTCGAGGCCCCGGTCCGAACTCCCCGCTCGCAGGAAAGCGGACCCCGCCGCGGCCGGGGAGTCCCGGAGGTCCGAACGGGCCGAGTCCTGGGGCCCAGACAAGGCCCCACCCTCTTCCCACGGGCCCCAGCTCTGGAATCGCTGGGACGGCGCCGCTGAAGGCCCCAACTCGATCCCCCAACCCGCCGTCCAAAGTTTGGGGACCTCCGCCCAACTTAGTGCCTGAGAAAAGTCGGCCGAGGCTGCGCGGGGAGGGGGAATCGGAGCACTGCCGTCACCCCGGGAATCCACCCGTGCTCAGACGTCCCCCTCCAAAAGCAGGGCCGTCGAGGATCCCGCCGCACTCACCGACTCGGCCAGCAGGAGGCGGCCTTTGAGCGAGCAGAGGAAGGCACGCGCCGGCAGCAGGGCGCGGAGCCCCGGGACTACTGGGCCGGATCGGGAGCCGCCTGCGGGCTCGGGGTCTGGGTCGGGGTCGGGGTCGGGGTCCGGGGGCCACATGGCGGTGGCAGCGGCGGCTGCAGGGCCCGGGCTCTGCCTGGCTCCCCTCTCCCCAAGCCCGGAGGGAAGCGGAAACGCGGGCTGTGCGGAAGGAGGGCAGGCGACACTGGCTGGAGAGCAGAGGCGCATCCCCCGCCGCCCCGCCCCGCCCCGCCCCCACTCGCTCCTCCGCCCCGCCCCTCCTCCTCGGACCCTGGCGGCCACGGGTGCTGGGCCCGACTCGCCCACGCCCCGGCCTGGGGCTTCCGCAGACCCCGCCTTCTCCTTCACCCCCGTCCAGGACGCTGGAGACCTCCAGATCACCGCCCCGGCACCCCATCGGGGCTCCCATCCATCTTCCCTTATCCAGAAGGGCTGTCTATACTCGCTGTGTCTGGTCTAACTTCCTGCCAGTGCGCGTGTCCGGGATCCGGGAACCCAGGCGTCTAAACAGCAAAGACCCCGGCCGTGATGTCGGCTCCGCACCCCAAGCCTCTCTCTTGGGGGTCCGAGTTTTCTTGCGACTTCCCTGGCCATCCCTCCTGTCCTCTGCTGTCCCACCCTCCCCCAGGGCCTCTTTGTTGGCTTTTCAGGCCTTGATCATGCACCCGCCTCCCCCAACCCAACCCTGGAGGACTCTCAGACCCGCACGCGCAGCTCCAGGCACAAAGACACGCACACAAGCGCAAACACACACAGACACCCACACACAGGCACGCACATCTGCAGGACTCCATGACCTGCAGTTCCCGTCCCACTAACACAACTCTCTCTCTCTATGTCTCTCTCTCTGTCTCTCTCTCTGTCTCTGTCGCTGTCTCTCTCTCTCTCTCTCTCTCACACACACACACACACACACACACACACACACACACACACCACTCACGTGTGCCCATCTGCAGAGCGTCTGGAGTTCAGCGTGATCAAGACCCAGCTTCCTGTGCCTCTGTAAAGGGCATTGTCCCCTCCTTTTCTTCCGCCCAACTAGTGGGGACCTGCGGGTCGTCCTTGTCCCTCCTTACTGGCAGTCTGTCACCAAGGTCCTCCCACCTTCACCTTCTGTAGCTTTCTCTGATCTCTGTCCACTTTTGACCACCACTAGAGCCCAAACCATTCCTGCACGCTCCCAGCTGAACTGCTGTGATGGCATCTTTAAGAGGCCCTTAAGTTTTCTCTCTCAGCAGCCGGGGAGAGCTTATAGCACAGCATAGCGCACCCTTGACATAACTAACTCCATCTTAGGAAAAGACTTCTTTTTTTTTTTTGAGACGGAGTTTCACTCTTCTTGCACAGGCTGGAATGCAATGGTGTGATCTCGGCTCATTGCAACCTGGCCTCCTGGGCTCAAGTGATTCTCCAGCCTCAGCCTCCCAAGTAGCTGGAATTATAGGCATGTGCCACCACACCCGGCTAATTTTGTATTTTTAGTAGAGATGGGGCTTCTCCATGTTGGTCAGGCTGGTCTTGCCCTCCAGTAATCTGCCTGCCTCGGTCTCCCAAAGTTCTGGGATTACAGGTGTGAGCCACCACGCCTGGCCAGACCTGGTTATCTCTTGACCTTGCATCACTCCTAACAATCACCAGCCATTGGTCACTTCTGATGACAGCCATGTCTCTAGACAGCTGGCTGCTGCCATCATCAGGCTGCAGCAGGGAAACATGGCCTGGGTGGCATGCTCAATGGAGCAGGCAAGAGCCCTCCCCTCCCAGGTGCAGCTGCAGCCACCCAAACCTCAGTTGTGGACCTGGGCTTCCTCCACAGGGCAGACAGGAGTCCTGGGCCCCCCTTCCCACAGCTGCAGCCGCTCAAACCACAGCTGCAGGCTCAGGCATGCCTGCACTCTTAGGGACCAGGGAAGGCCCTCCTGCCCTTCTAGGCTTGGAAGTTCCTTCTCCTGCTCCCTGGCTTCTTCCTGCTGTGGGCACCTGCTCTGATCTGGGAGCAAAGTCCAGGAAAGCCTGGGCTTCATGAATGGCAGCAGGAGGCCAGTAGATTTCTGGGCAGAAGAGGGCAGGTCCCAGTGAGGCCCCACCTTCAGGCCAACGAGGGCCTGAGGGCTGCCAGACCAACGGACCAGAGTGAGAACTTGTATTGCCCTTTCTGGCCCACCCATGGCTGCCCATAGATAAACTGGGCTCACACTTCCTCCCCTTTGAGGTCCATAAAAGCACCAGGTTCAGCCAGAACTGAGCAGCTGGAGGACCAGCTGCAGAGAGGAGCCACTCTCTCCATAGCCTCCTCTCTGCTGAGAGCTGAACACTCAATGGGATGACCTGCCCAAAGAGAGAAGCTACCCGCTATGGGTCTCCTCTGAGCTTTCTAACACTTAGTAAAGCTCCTATTGTCTTGTTCACCCTCCACTTGTCTGTGTGCCTCATTCTTCCTAGATGCAAGACAAGAACTCAGGCAAAGGTGCCACTGGCCACAGAAGTTTCTACCTAGAAAATCGACACCCCAAAGATCCCATAACATTTCCATCTCCTCCCACAAAGAAACACACACACACACACACACACACACACACACACACACACACCCCACTTGGGAGCTTCCCATTCTGCACAGGGTCTTGGTATAAAAGGAAAATATAACCCCTTGCTGTGCTTCCCTCCACTGCCTCTCCCATGGGCCCCTTACAGTTCCTGGAACAAACCATGCTCCCTCCGGCCACAGAGCCATTGTCCATGCTGACCACTCTACCCGGAATGCTTCTCCACCATCTTTACTACTTATCTCCTCCTTATTCTTCAGTGACTAGAATGCAGTATTGCTTCCTCAGAGAAGCCTTTCTTGACATTGATTTATTCATCCAACAGCAGTGCCTAGGGTACAGCAAGGCCCCAGCTCTTTCTGCTGCTGCTGGTGGTCATGGTGGAATAAACACTAAACATATCCAGAGAATCCTGAAAAAGGTATTCCTGGTAACAGATAACAGATGTCTGACTGGCTGGGAGAATAGCCAGGCAGGGAGTGTCAAAGAAAGGACTGAGCCGAGGTGTTAGGGCATAGGAAAGGGGGAAGACATGGGGAACTGGTCAGAGAAGGGGCAGAGCTAGACTGTGGAGGGCCAGAACCTGGGGTTTGGATTTTACTGACAATTCCCTAGGAGGAGGCCAGGTGAGGGTTCTTACAGAGAGAAATCTGGTTCCCACTGGTGATATTAAAAACATGGTTCTGGGCCAGGCATAGTGGCTCACACCTGTAATCCCAGCATTTTGGGAGGCTGACGCGGGCTGATCACCTGAGGTCAGGAGTTGGAGACCAGCACTGGCCAACATGGTGAAATCTTGTCTCTACTAAAAATACAAAAAATTAGCTGGATGCGGTGTCGTACCCCTGTAATTCCAGCTACTCAGGAGGCTGAGGCAGGAGAATTGCTTGAACCTGGGAGGCTGAGATTGCAGTGAGCTGAGATCATGCCATGGTACTTCAGCCTGGGTGACAGAGTGAGACTCCCATCTCAAACATATACCATCTCAAACACACACACACACACACACACACACACACACACACACACACACACACACCATGGCTCTGAGCTGCAACTCAATCATAAGAAGAAAACAACCAAATTTTTTTAAAATGGGCCAAAGATTTGAACAGACAATTCATCAAGAGAGATATATGAATGTCCAATAAGCATGTAAAAAGGTGCTTAGCATTGTTATACATCTAGGAATGCAAATTAAACCCACAATAAGATACTACTGCATGTCTACTGAAATGGCATGGAAAGGGTGCACTACCAGCTGCTGGTGAGGATGTGGGGAGCTGGGGCACTTGTGACTGGTGCAGTCCTGGTTCAGCTCTTTCTGGCTTCTTTTTGTTTCCTAATCTTAAAAATATCTGTAAAAGACATTTATTTTTTCTCCAGTTAATAATTGGAAAAAAAGAACAAGTGATGGACTTGGTTAAATTCCCTCTGTTCTTTAGGGTCGAACTAAATGGCTTGTATCATCATTTTAAAAAGTATCTTGAGGGCCAGGTGTGGTGGTTCACACCTAAAATCACAGCAATTTGGGAGGCTGAAATGGGAGGATCGCTTGAGCCCAAGAGTTTCAGTTTACAGTGATCTGTGATCTTCCCATTGCACTCCAGCCTGGGCAACAGAGTGAGAGAGTGAGACCTTGTCTCAACAAACAAACAAACAAACAAAACCACAGTGAGATGTCTCTGTTTAAAAAAAAAAAAAGAAAGAAAGAAAAAGTGATTTGATTGCTTGCTTGTGTTGAGAAATAAAGTTTATTTTAAAAAATTTGTACATTTTAATTCAATTTCCATGAACGTTTGGAAGTCCCCTCATATTTCTTCTTTCTGGTTTTGTTTTGTTTTGTTTTGCTTTTTGGACAGAGTCTCGCCCTGTTGCTGAGGCTGGAGTGCAGTGGCAAGATCTCAGCTCAATACAACCTCTGCTTCCTGGGTTCAGGTGATTCTTGTGCCTTAGCCTCCCAAGTAGTTGGGATTACAAGTGTGCATCACCACACCTGGCTAATTTTTTTTTTTTTTTTTTTGTAATTTTAGTAGAGGTGGGGTTTCATCAAGTTTCCCAGGCTGGTCTTGAACTCCTGGGCTCATGTGATCTACCTGTGTTGGCCTCCCAAAGTGTTGGGATTACAGACATGAGGCACTGTGTCCAGCCTCTTATTTCTTTTTTTAATTTTTAATTTAGAAATGGGGTCTCAATATGTTGCTCCGGCTGGTCTTGAACTGTTGAACTTAAAGGATCCTCCCAGAGTGCTGGGATTACAGGTGTGAGTCATCCTGCCTGACCCCCTCATAATTTTTATAGCCTGAACTGGAAACCACGTGGCCATCAACAGGTGAAGGAATAAAGAAACTGTGGTACAGCCATACAATGGAAAACTACTTGGCATTGATAAAGTAATGCATTCTTCAGACAGTATGTTGAAGGAAGGAAGCCAGACTCAAAATATACCTACTCCATGATTTCATTTTTATGAAATTCTAGAACAAGCAAAAGAAAGCTACAGTAACATAAATTAGATCAGTGGTAGCCGGGAGTAGGGGCAGGAAAAAGCTTCCTGGAGTGCTAAGAAATGTTCTTTATTTTGATTGGGGTGGCGGTTATACAGGGACCTACATTTGTCAAAACACATCAAATTGTCCACTTACAATGGGTACATTTTATTTCATGTAATTTAT